GTTTTCCCCAGTGCACTGTACCTTCAAAAAACCCGTGAGAAATCAGCCCTGGTTTGCAAACACAGGACAGAGATGTGGGGTTGAGTGAAGGGTGCCAAGGGAGGAGCAGAGAGGGTGAAGGARCACTGAGGGGATGAGTTTGGGGCTGGAAAAACAGCACCCACCTCTCACCTCTTCCTGGGGCTGCTTTCCTGTCCTACTGAACCCTCTTGGCCTCGTGTTGTCACCCCAAAACCCTTCCTGCTGCCCAAGGACTGGGGCAAACCCCAAGAAAACCCCAGGGCAAGGAAATGTCAGGGTGGAGGGCTCACAGTGGGGGCATCTCCTCACATTTTACAAACATTTCCTGGGTTTTGGGGGGCTCTTTGTCAGCCAAACCCCCAGCAGCTGACACCAGGCTTGTGTCACACCCACAGAACACCCAAAATTCGTGGCTGCTTTGAGAATTGGGAGAGTTTTGCCCCAAATCCTGGGCACTGGTGGGTGAGCTGAGGTGCTCCTCACAGCTCTGTTTGCAAACCTTCCACAGTGTCAAACCGGGCTCTGTTTTACCCAAATCATTTCCCGTTCTCTGTGGTTTTCGTTGCTATTTCCTGTTCACAGGCAGCTGCTGCCGAGCCCAACATCTGCTGGGGGCCAAATCCCAACCCCACAGCCTCTCCCTGCCCCCAGTTCCTTGGAAAAGGATTTTGTCTTCACAAAATCCCCGAGGTCTGTCAGGTCCTACAGCCCAAAAGGGAACACGAGGGACCCAAAAAACCCGGTGTCCCCACCCCACACACACATTTAAACACAACCCTCCCCCTTTTCACCTGCTTTTCACCCTCACCCCAGCCTTTGCCACAAACATTTGTCCTTCCCCAGTTTCCCTTCCCTTTCCTTACAGCTCATTTTCCTCCCCCAGCCCAGCCACCTTCTTTTCCTCAGTTTTTCCAAACTCTCCATCACCTCCCTCTTGCCCTTCTCCATAACCCAGGCTAGAGAAATGTGTCAAGCCCACAGAGGGGTTGAAATGAGATGATCTTTAATGTCCCTTCAACCCCAAAAACCACCCAGAGCTTCTCTCATCAGCACCATTCCTGCTCCCCTATTTATTTCTTTGCTTCTCCTGCCCCCATCTCCCTTTCCCTTCAATTCCACCCCTCTTTTCCCACCCCATGGGATGTTTTCCATCCATCCCCCTGCCCTCCACGCACGTACCCTCTCTCAGCCCCATTTTTTGCTCTCCCAGCCGCTGTTTTGAGCCAGAATCCCCTCCAGGATGGGAGCAGGAGTTGCTAAAGCTCCTTCCTGCCCTGGCAGGAGGCAAAAGCTGCAATCTCRAAGGGGAAGGGTGTGAGGAGGAGATAAGGGAACCAAAACCACASGAGGGTTCCCAGCTGCTGTCACTGCCTGTCCCCAGGGCACAGGTTGAGACTGGAGCCCCAGAAGAGGTGACACAGGTGGTGACAAAGGACACGGTGCCACAGTGCTGTGACAGAGTGTTGTGGGTTAAAATTCTTCTCTTTTTGGTTTTTTTTTTTTTTGGGGGGGGGAATTTTTTCTTTCTTATTTGTTGCTGAAATACACTAATTGTTGAGTCATTTTTTTTAATGGTTGAATTATTAATAAAGATAATGATATTTATGTTTTACACAGAGTCTTCGGGGCACACTGGGTTTGGGGGAGCAGTGGGGGCCTGGTACAAAGACACAGAGCCAAGGCCACGACCCCATAGTGGACACTGACACTGGCCATGACCCTATGGTGACACTGGGACTGGCCACATCCCCACAATGGACACTGGCACTGGCCGTGACCCTACGGTGACACTGGGACTGGCCATGTCACCATGATGGACGCTGGCACTAGCCACATCCCATGGTGACACTGGCACTGGCCATGTCCCCATAGTGGACAGTGGCACTGTAATCACCRGATCTGACTGCTCCAAACCTCTTTCCCCCAACACCCTCCTGATCCCCTCTTGCCTTCCTGCCGGACCCTGGGGGTCACTGAGGGACAGGGAACATCTGGGGTGGTCCCTCAAGGCAATTCCCTGAGCAAAACCTGCCTCCAAAGGGGCACATTTCCCATGGCCAGGATGGGCATGGGGAGCCTTTCCCCTTTCCCCTCTCCAGAGGGGCCACACGGGGTGATCCCAGAGCTGATCCCAGAGCCGATCCCAGAGCTGGCCCCAGACCTGGCCCAGTGCTGATCCCAGAGCTGGCCCCAGAGCCGRTTGCAGTGCTGACCCCAATGCTGCCCCCAGTCCCGTCCCAATCCCGATCCCAGTCCAGCTCCCAGCCCATTCCCATTCCGTTCCCAGCCCGTTCCCGGTCCCGTTCTGTTCCCATTCCCAGCCTGTTCCCAGTCCGTTCCCAGTCGAAGCCTATTCCCAGCCCGTTCCCATTCCATTCCCGTTCCCGTTCCCATTCGATTCTCAGCCCATTCCCATTCCATTCCCATTCCCATTCCATTCCCGTTCCCAGCCCATTCCCATTCCCGTTCCATTCCCATTCCCATTCCATTCCCATTCCCGTTCCATTCCCATTCCCATTCCCATTCCCATTCCCATTCCCGTTCCATTC